GTTCTCGGCCATTTTTTGTTTTTTGTTTTTGTTTTTGTTTTTAATGAGAACATGAGCTGGCTCTTTCCTCATACAATTTTCTCATCTGACACCTTATGTGCCACTCCCAAATCACAGGTTAATCAGTCACTATTCTATGTTACTTCCACACCTTACACCTGTGTCTAGAGTTTACTTAACACTCTAATTATTTGCTTCCTTGTCCATTTCTCCTGCTAGATCATGAGTTCCTTGGGGGCAGGGATCATGTCTTAGTCATTACTCTTTCTTTAGAACCTAGCAAATATACAGTACCCAGTAGGTGGTACTGAATGTTTGCTAAAAGAATGGATCTGTCCTTTCTAGCCAACAAGGTCCAGTTTTTACCAAAGAATACCAAACTGGTTTGGTTACCTTGGATACTTAGTTGCTTATGAGAAAACATCGGATATAAGAGGGAGGTACCATCTGAGTTCCACTGCTTTCACTCACTTTGACTTATGGGAGTCCAGAGCAGAATGGACAAATTAAGTCCACAAATAGAACCTTGTTTGAACCAGTTTCAACTTCCTCCCTTATAAAAGCTTTTGTTAAAGTTGCCAAAGAGAAGCAGAACTGACAGACTGGAGTTTCATCTTTTATTTCCCGGGTCTGACTGGGGAGAAAACCTGCAGGGCCAAAGCGGAGGGAGACAGAGGGCAGACTTGAAGGACCGCCAGCCGGAGGGAAGGAAGAAGGGAGGAAGTTCGCTACAAATGTTAATAGTCTGTGCCAAGTCTTAGCCAGAAGTACTATCCAGGTTTCAAATTTTGTCTCTCCTCATCTCCTGTTCAGCGAGACCCCTAACCAGCAAGATCGTGACCTGAGCTGAAATCAAGAGTCCAGATAGTTAACCGACTGAGCCACCCAGAAGCTCTGCATGAGGCCATGCTTTTTCCTTTTTTTAGTTTATTTATTTATTTTGAAAGAGACAGAGCCAGCAGAGGAGAAGCAGAGAAATGGAGAGAGAGAATCCCAAGCAAGTTCCACACTATCAGTGCAGAGCCCAACGTGGGGCTCAAACCCATGAACCGTGAGATCATGACCTGAGCTCAAATCAAGTTGGATGCTTAACCTACTGAGATACCCAGGACCCCTGGGGGAGGCTATTCTTAATTCGTCTTCACTACTGCCAACCTCTCAGCTCTCCCAGGCCCCTTCTCCTTGCCTCTGCCTTGCAGTGGACTCACTGGGGAGGGAGCCCGGGGTAAGTCACAATCAAATCAAGACCCAAGACCAAACTTCTCAGGACTTGGTGGGAAACAAAATTTTTAAATGAATTTGGTTCTTTTTTTTTTTTAATTAAAAAAAATTTTTAATATTTATTTTTGAGAGAGAGACAAAATGTGAGTAAGGGAGGGGCAAAGAGAGGGAGACAGAATTCCAAGCAGGCTCCAGGCTCCAAGCTGTCAGCACAGAGCCCTATGTGGGGCTCGAACTCATGAACTGTGAGATCATGACTTGTGCTGAAGTCAGTTGCCTAACTGACTGAGCTACCAGGCACCCCTCTGTATTTTTTTTTAAAGAGAGAGAGAGCAAATGGGGGAGAGGGGCAGAGAGAGAAAGAGAATCTTAAGCAGGCTCTACACTCAGGGTAATGCCTGAGGCAGGGCTCGATCTCACAACCACGAGATCATGACCTGAGCCAAAATCAAGAGTTAGACGCTTAACCAACTGAGCCCCACCCAGGCGCCCCTTAAAATTGGTTCTGTTTTGATGTAAAGACTGGGTGTAATCACAGAATCCTAAGACAGGGCGGAACTCAGAAATCAGTGTGTCTTACCAAAGCAAGCAGTCATACTGTTGCCAAAATCTCAAGGCTTTTCTCTACTTTTCCTGCCCTACATATCAGAAGGCATAAAACAAATGACCACATCTGCTTAAAAATATGTATTGTGAGGTTTTTACTCATTTCCTTGCTAGAAATCTATAGCTTCAATCCTGATAAGATTTCAGGTTGTCCTTTTAGGCACATTCACAGAACCACAGTTCATATTCTTAGAACTCTACAGTCTATTCAACCACCCATTAGCAGTCCACCACATACCTCCACTCAGCCTCCTCTCCAGGGTCACTACTCTATGCGGTAGAGAAGAGAGGGGCTGTCCCTCAGACTGCCTTCTCATTCCAGTTCATCATTCATTCACCCAACCAACACTAATTAATACAAGTGCCAGGCACAATGCCAGATGAATAAGACCAGGTCTGTGACCTCAAAGAACCTGCAATCTAATAGAGGGAGTACATAGTAAGGAATTTAACCTTGCTCAAAGGGAGGGTAGCCTTTGCCCTTGGCTCCTAGAAACAAGCTCTAAGCCTTTGTAATGTCCTAAAAAAGTGTTTACCTGGGGGTCTTTGGCCACACTAGACAGTCTAGCAATGTGATTGGGGGGAAATGAGGACTTTGGATCATGTGTTATCAGCTAGACCTCTGGAGAGGCTAGAGACTGGGGTCAGCCAATCAGGTCTATATGACCAAGTCCCAGTAAAAACTTTGGACACCAAGGCTCAGGTGAGATTCTCTGGTTGCCAATACTCCAGGAGTACCGTCACACACAGTGCCCAGGAAAGTTAATGCTGTCCATGATTCCACTGGGAGAGGACAACTGGAAGACTCGTACTTAGAATTTTTGGGACTCTGCCCCATACATTTCTTCCCTTGGCTAACAATCTGTTTCCTTTCACTGTGACAAACTACCTGTGAGTATAACAGCTTTCAGTGAGTTCTCAGTTCAGTTCAGTGAGTTCTCAGCAACACCCTCTGCCTTTCTGAGGACAAAATAAATGAATTCCAATGGATTCACTCTCTTTGTTCCTCTGCTTAAGATACAGATTCTTGGGGCGCCTGGGTGGCGCAGTCGGTTAAGCGTCCGACTTCAGCCAGGTCACGATCTCGCGGTCCGTGAGTTCGAGCCCCGCGTCGGGCTCTGGGCTGATGGCTCAGAGCCTGGAGCCTGCTTCCGATTCTATGTCTCCCTCTCTCTCTGCCCCTGCCCCGTTCATGCTCTGTCTCTCTCTGTCCAAAAAATAAATAAACGTTGAAAAAAAAATCATTTAAAAAAAGATACAGATTCTTGGTGAGGAGCATGTGATTGGCCCATCTTGAGTCATGAGCCTGATGTTTGGCTAAAGGAAGGCAATTCCCCGAGATTATAGTCCCACCAGACCACACTGCATGGGGAAGAGATAATTCCACAAAAAAGAAACTGGTTGCTGTTCAGAAGGGTGGCCAGAAAACTAATATCCAATCACGACAACTTATTTACACAATCATCTTTGAAAGAGGTGACAGGAGGTAGTTTTATAATTCATAAGAAATATGACCTGAAGACACATTCTATTCAGTGATTGATAATATTGGCTCCTCGGTTAAAAATAGAAGGGGCACTCCTCTAAGATACATCCTTTGATCTATCATTCAACAATATCAGGTTGTGCATGGTGATAAGTTTGGCTGGTATGTTCTGTCTCCCAAGAATGTCCTTTGAGGAAGCAGTCTCTCCAGACTGCTTATTTCTGAGCAGAGCCCGGCGAAGTCTCTGTGACGCTAGCTAGTATGCACAGCTCCTGAAATGATATAGTTGGCCTGCTAAGAGTACAAACTAGAGACTTCCTTTGGAAGATCATGTAGCATCTAGACAGCCGACAACATGCTTCTTGGCAAGAGGAGCACAATGTTCCTATTGCAGAATTGACCCAAATTCAGAAAAGAGTTTATTGATGTAGGCATGCTTAAATCTGCAGCCAGCAGGATCATGGTGGCGGGGGTGGGGGTGGGGGGGATAGTTGTCTTCTTTCTCCGATTTTACAGAGTCAGCTTGAGCAACTCTGTAAGAGCCCAACACTGAGGCAAGTTCCACTGGTGTGCTGAATTTGTGTAATCGGGCTCTACTTAACCACGTCTGCCCAGATCTGTTCCCAGAATTAATACAACACAAAGGAACAACTGCTAGTCAGACAAGATCTGACCTGCATCCCTCCGAAATTTTGTCCACAGGACACTAGTAACTGCTGGACTAGAATAGTGAAGTCTTTTTGTCCAATAAAAGAAGTCCTAGAAAGGTGGAAAGCACTGTGAGAAGCAGATCGAGGCCACAGGAAACGGGACACATTTCCTGAACACACAGCAGAAACGAATTGGTTTCAGATACTATCTTCCACTGCCACAGCTGCCAAAGAGCCTACTTGACAAATCTGAATGGGTCTGGCCGGCTCAGAGCTCTTCCATGACATCAAATCTAAAACCTCTGCAGAACACACAGGCCCATCTCTCTCTTCAGCCTCCTCCTGGGCAGCTCCCCAACCCTCGTTTGAACTTGAGCCGTGCTGAACGTGCTTCAGGTCCCAGAGGGAGTCCTGCCCTGCTCTGGAGGGTGCAACTGCATACCCTGCTGCCTGTGTGAGAAAGTCCCGCTCTCCTGTCTGCAGAGCCCCTTCTGTCCTGCTCAGAACCTCAGTTCTGCTCCAACTTCCTCTATGGAACCTCCTCTGCTTTCCCGCCCCAAGCTCTATGCATCTTTCAGCCCTAAAGCAATGGTCTCAGCGTCCTGCTGGTGGGTGTCTTTCCTCACTGGACTGCAAACTCCTCAAGGGCAGACACCAAGTCCTGTCCCTATAATTCTCTACATCACGGGGGCCTGGCACAAGGCTTATCTTCTGGAAGGCGCAAATGTTTGTTGAAGTTGTGAATGAACTCCATTTGCATTTTATCTCTGGCAGTGTCTAAACCAAAGAAACTCACACTTCTCAGAAGAGGGAACATATTCAAATACCAAGAACTGCAGTTCCTGGTAAGACCTTTTAGAAAATGACGTTACTAACAGCAGCAACTGGAAACTCAGCAGAATGCTTAAGTGCTAAAAACAGTGCAATGGGCCAATACTTGAACAGTCATGGTTTAGGTAGCCCGGGTTGCGGCAGGGGGAGGGGGAGGTAGGGGAGGGTCATGGCCATCTAAAGTTTTAAGAATCACAAACACCTTCTTTCTTAAGAATTACATATATTTACATTGTAGATATCTGGGATACACTTTTCACAGGAGTTACTTCTCAAATCCCAAATCCATCCAATCTGGAAACCGCCCTCAACTGTCTGAGCCAGCATTTCAGATAGGAGATAAGCTGTTTCCAGCTGGAGTGGCTTTGGAAAGTACACTCTAAAATGAAGTCACCTGTTTGTTGTCATTGTCCTCCTCCCCAGCCTTCCTTCTGGGACCAAGCCCCATCCTGTGACTCCCTAAGGAGCCACCCTGTTTAGTTTTCCATGAGGCTCCCTGGAGGGTCAAGGCCATGGGGAGGGCTCTTCAGCTTGGGGGTAGACAGGTGTTCCAACTCATAGTGTCCACTCTCAGATGCCTTGTGTGTGACTTTCTCCTTCATGCCTTCCTGGCTCCTCTTGTGCTCAATAATCTGCTGGAGCTGCTCCCCAGCATATTCTGGTTTGGTGGTCAGTGGGCCAGCTGGCACGGCTACTCCAAGAACATCTGACACCATGTAGGGGCGCAGCCAGCCCACAAGAGGAGTGCTTCCAGGGCTGTAGTGGGTCTGCTTGTGGTAGAAGAGAAGTCCATCTACCTAGAAAAGGGGAAATCAGAGACCAAAGTGACTTCTGGGGCCATGTATTTCGAGGAGAGCCTATGCATATGGGGGCTGCTCTAATGGGCCAACTGCCTTTCCTGGATCACTGCCAGTGGAAAAATAATCCTTGTTTCTCACACATGCAATTTCTCTAAATGAAGAAATGACCTAGAAATTTAAATTTTAGAAAATAAAAACATAAACAGCACTTTCCTGTTTACAGGGTGCTTGCCTACCCACTACTTCACCCTCTTACCCACCATTGAGGGTGTTTAAGATGGCACTAGGGCTAGCTCTGGGGGCCTCCCCCAAAACCCAGGCAGTATGAAGCACAAATTCAACGTGAACCCAGGTCTTCTGTCCCCAGATCCCATGTACTTTTCAGTACTCAGATGTCTCTGTAATGGGGAATGTTCTCCACACAGGGCACAAACCAGGAGAACTGGACAGGCCCCTCCAAGAGGCTGGACTGCTGAACACAGGGAAAACAGGCTGTCAAGAAGCCCTGTTCCCCACACCATTGTTGGCTGCCTGACCTCCCCCTAAATTATCTGCAAGCTATGTTCTGGGAAGCTCAGTTTTTCTCAACGGGAAGACCTCCTACAGTCCCACATTTTCTTTTCCGTGATTCAGTGACTCATCTCTAAAAAGCATTTATTGTCACTGGGGCATAGGGTTATAAATAAAGATGGTGTTCTTACCACCTTCTTAATTGACTCTCAGAAATGAAGGCAACTCAGCCTTTGCCATTTCCTCATTTGGGAAGCTGTGATCCTTTTAACAAAATTATATCAAGCTCAAGCAAATACTTCTGCGTGACTAGGCAGAATTTTAAAGGGTACGATGGGCAAAGGAAAGTCTGTGTGTTGAGGCTGGAGAGGATAACTGTAGATTCTGAGGATGATAAAAGGTTGCTGAGAACTGAGGAGCTTCTAGAGACATGAGACTTTTGGTGCTAAATCGAGAAAGTTCTGGACAAACCAGGACAAGTTGGTCACCCTGCCTCCACACCACTGTTCAGAAAGCACTGCCATCCCCAGCCATCATTTGCTCTTGGGAGGAAGGAAGGATAAGGAGTTTGAACCCCTGTGGTCTGTCCATCACAGGAGCTCCCAACTTTACAGTCAGCTATGGCAGCCAGGCTTGCGGCCGAAAACAGGCACCCCAGAAGGACCTAGGAATGGAAGCCTTGTCCCTCCCTGGGCCCCCACCTCTCCACCTGTAAAATGAGGGACACAGACGAGCAGCTTTGGCATTCTGATGTCTCTAACAGAGCAGAGCTGAGGCTCTGAAGGACAGCGGCACATCTTTTTCCAGGAATCAGCTTTCAGCCCTTTTCTGATGCTTTGACACAGCAAAGTCAGAGGATATCCTAAGACATTGGGTAACCAAGCTCCCTGTGTCCTGCAGTCCCATCAGAGCAATAAAGACAATGCTTGTGTTACCTCAAAAGGGAAATCCATTGACAGCACCTGACACAGGCTCTCAGGGGTACAAGGGAAATTCTTTAGTCCTACAAATTTAAACTAAAATATAAATTACAACAAAGAATTACAACATGTTACAAATAATATTGGTTCTAGCAAATAAAAACTGTATCAAAGAAAAAAAAGTTCAGTCTCATCCTTCCCTACCTCCCCTCCCCCACCGTATTACTGGGTTGGAGGTTCTCAACCTTGCTTTATCCACAAGAATCATCAGGGAAGCTCTTAAAAATCACTGAAGCCCATGCCTCACTCAGAGATTCTGGCTGAATTGGCCTGGGATGGGTCCCAGGCATTTTTTTTTTTTTTTAAGCTGTCCAGTTGAGTTTAACACGCACCCAGGACTGAGAACCAGTGTCCTGTGCTAGGTTTAGGGGTTGTATGTTATTCTCGCAGCCATATGACAGTCCTACAGAAGGGCTAGAGAAGCCCCTTCCACATCAGCAAGGATTTTTAGACTGAGCAATATAATAAAGTGATTAGGACTAAAACTCTAGTAAGTCAGATTGCTTGGGTTTGACTCCCAACTCTGCCAATCATTTCATCTGTATATGCCTCTGCTTTCCCATCTATAAAATAGGATAATGAAAGTATCTACCTCATGGGGGTTGTTGCACGGGTTCAATGACATAATACACGTAGAGTGCTTAGAACAACATTTCAGAGAGAGCAGCTCCTATGTTCCCCTTCCTCAATGCATGTTCTCCCAGGACCTTACCGATAACATCACTAGATACTGACTCCATTTATTGTCCTGTAACTGGTTATCCGATTGCTTTTAAAAGTGTTGCACGAAGTACAATCAAATGCTAATCTACAGGTGTTTGCTAATAAAATGCCCTGAAAATAGCTGTCGCATATTTAATCAGAGTGGATAGCAAAAGCACTTGGGCTTTCATCCTGGACTGTGGGATGTTGGGGAAGGTAGTCCCTCTCTGAGCTTACACTCTCATCTGTGAAAGGAGTCAGCTGACTAGATGAGGTCATTCTCAGCTCACATACAAGAGCAGAAGTTCTCAAAGTGTGGTCTGTGGACCAGCAGTACCAGCATCACTTGTTAGAAATACAAATTATCAGGCTTCACCCTAGCCCTACTGAATCACAAACACTGGTGAGGAGGGCCCAGGCATCTACGTTTCACCAGGCTTCCAGACGCTGCTGACGCACGTTACAGTTTGAGAACCACTGTACTGGAGTTCTAGATAGCATTATTCAAGACAGTATTATTCTAGATCACATTATTCTAGATAGCATTATTAATAATTATAAAATAATTAGCATTTTATACAACCACTATTTATTAAGTGTATACCATAAGTATGTTAAGAGAACCTGCACATTTGTATCACTTGGTTCTTAGAACAACTCTGTAAAGTAGGTGTTATTAACCCTATTACACAGATAAAGAAACTAAGGCCAAATGAAGTCAGTAACTTTGTTAATTGTTAGTTAAAGTTAGTAATTGTTAAAGCCAAAACTGGTTCAGATCTGGATGGCTGTTAAGCCCACACCCTTCCCATTATGCCATGCTCCTTCAAAATTAAAAAGATAAGTCCATTCATGATTATTATATTTAGATAACAGACCAATCCAAGCCAATCCCCATAGAGAATCCAGCAATCCTAACACCAGGCCTTACGGGATTGAGCTTGGTTTTCTCTCCCAGTCCTTCTTCTTCTGGTAACTTTGAATGCATCCAGTAGAACCGGAAATCAGTCTGCCACAGAGGAGGGAAACAGAAAGATGAAATGCTGCTCACATCAAATGATGATGTGAACAAACACACTCCATCCGAAATAGTCACGTAGTTTCTGAAGATCTAAGCTCTTCTAGCATTGATCTCATGTCTCTTCAAACACTGCCATAAGGTCAGAAAGATACTTATATAAAATTTTTGGAGATTTTTTCTTAAAATCCAATAGGATTTTTAATGGTAGTAGAGCTGATCACTGATCACTGAAGGCCTACTATGTGGCAGGCCCCATACTAAGGACTTTACACACCCTGATTAGTACTCAACCACCCTCTGAGAGCTGGATTACCATCATCTCCATTTTACAGGCGAGCACTATGAGGCTCAGAGGGATTATATCATTTGCCCACAGAAAATACCATGGGTCCCAGGACTCTAACTCCAGAGCACATTATGTTAGCCTTTGTTTTATTTTAATTCTGAGGATTAGAAGCTACTATAGAGTTTTAACTTCTCATATATACTTCATTCTCTGAATTACTGGTATGTACCCTTCTGTAGCTATTTAGTACCTTTTGTTTCTTGTCCATTATTTTGCTTTTAAAAATTAAAAAAACAGGGGCGCCTGGGTGGCGCAGTCGGTTAAGCGTCCGACTTCAACCAGGTCACGATCTCGCGGTCCGTGAGTTCAAGCCCCGCGTCGGGCTCTGGGCTGATGGCTCAGAGCCTGGAGCCTGTTTCCGATTCTGCGTCTCCCTCTCTCTCTGCCCCTCCCCCGTTCATGCTCTGTCTCTCTCTGTCCCAAAAGTAAATAAACGTTGAAAAAAAAAATTAAAAAAAAAAATTAAAAAAACAACATCACAGTTATTTTATATATTATAGAAATATAGGTAGTTTTAGCTACCAAATTTATAAGTTGTGAATACATGTTATGAAACATCCTTCAACAGAATTAAAGGAAAATATGCTCTAGATTGAGTTTATGAGATCTGAGTTTTAGGTGTGGCTCTGCACTTGAGCAAGGTACTTACCATCTGTAGCTCTTTGCTTCCATTCCTGTACGATGAGGAATGACAACGGTATTCACCTTATAGGTGAATGAGATATAAGGGCTTCAATGAGATAATGCTCACAAAGTGCTCAGCAGTACAAGCCTTGGCTATTATTGTTACAAATTCAGCAGCATGCTTTGGAAAATCATGCTTTGGCTAACGGCTATGGAAAGAGGTAACCTGCAGTGACAACCCATGGTTCGCAGACTGGGCCTGCACAAGGATCGCCCGGAGGCTCATTAAAACATGAGTTGACCCCAGGGTTTCTGACTCAGTAGGTCTGGGAACTTGCATTTCTAGCCACATTGAGAACTACTATGATACACTAATTGACAGGGAACACAAAAAATCACTACTATAAAACTGGGACAGTGACGGGGCAGTGTTGGGAGCAGAGATGGAATCTGAGGGGTTGACCTAGCCTTACTCCGATGACTGCTACTGTCACTCCTAAGAATCAACAATCTCAGAAAAATGCTGGGGGAAGGTGACGCTTCGGGGAGAATATCGGGGCCCCTCTTCACTTGGAAAATCTCCTTCCCGGGCAGGCCCCTCAGAGATTCGAGGCTTTCTGTTGAACCAAGGAGGCCCTGCTGTTTTCAGGGTCAGGATGTGGTTGTGAAGCAGTAGAGGTGGCCAGAGACTATTTGATGGTGACTTCATTCTACCTCTCTTCCTTGTGCCACCTGCACAGGTACCATCCCCGCTGCCCACGGTCCTCCCCACCAGCAATCCTCCCACACTCCAGAGAGAGTGAGGGGGTGGCTGCAGCTTCTACAGAGTCCCAGCCTGCCCCTCCACTCCGTTTCTCTCTTTTCTCCCCTCAAGATTTGCTGTACTTCCCTTAGTTCCTCCTCCTTCTTTTTTTAAAACAAAGCTAATTTAAACACACTCAAAGAGGCAAGGAACATTAGATAATGTTCTTGATATACCACATCCTGTGCATACCAAGAAGCTGGTCACGTACCAAACCCACATGCTGGGCCACTTTCCCAGGAGAGGAGAAAATAGGAGAAGACATGAGGAGACTATCAATCCCTACCTGGCAGTCATAAAAAGGGTGTCCCCGCCAACACATCACATCCAGAACATAGTAGGTCTGGTTCACCTCGCTGTAAATGCAGTCCAGAATGGTGTAGTCTGGGGACACAGAGCAGAAAGTCACTACAGGGTTCCCTTTCCAATCAGAGTTTCTTAGGGAGAAAGTTCTTTATGGCCCTTTCTTTTTTATTTTATTTCAATTATTTATTTTGAGAGAGAAAGAGAGAGACAAGGAGAGAGAGAGAATGCAAGTGGGGGGTGGGGGAGAGAGTGAGGGAGAAAGAGAGAATCCCAAGCAGGATCTGCACGGTCAGTGTGTGGACTCACGAACTGGGAGATCATACACTGAGCCAAAGTCTGACACTTAACCAACGGAGCCACCCAGATGTGCCTTCACGGCCCTTTCTCGCTCCTGGGCAGGTTAAGGGCAACTCGAGGTAGGACAGCGTGAGTGGGATCAAGGCAACCCTTAAGCCAGGTGGGAATTTTGAACTTTTATTTTCTGTATTTAATTATTTATTGACTTCAATGTTTATTTATTTGGAGAGGGTGGAGGAGGGGCAGAGAGAGAGGGAGACAACAGAATCCGAAGCAGGCTCCAGGCTCTGAGCTGTCAGCACAAAGCCCGACTCAGGGCTTGAACTCACGAACTGTGAGATCATGACTTGAGCTGAAGTCAGATGCTTAACTGACTGAGCCACCCAGTGGCCCTATTCTGAACTTTTCAATAAACTGGAACATTTACTCACCTTAGAAAAACTCCAGTCCAAAAGGCAAGTAATCTTCCATTTGAATTTACATGCCCTTTTGAATTCCTACTGTAAGTAATATGATCTGCGTGGAATATTACCTGTAAGTAATTCTTGCCTTTAAGGACCTTATAATCCAGTGCTCGCTTCAGCAGCACATATACTAAAAACCTTACAATCCAGTGAAGGAGATAAGATGATCATAGAGAAGAGAACTGAGAGCTGAGCTGTACAACACGACCTAAGAGCAACAGGAATTCCGGAGGAGTGAGATCGGAGCAGCAGGCGATGCTGCATGGAAGAGATGGTATGTGAACACAGTCTTCTGAGATCAGAGGGTTAAAACAATAGGGCAGAGGGGAGGTGGGAGGGCATTTCAGCCTGGAGAACTGATGTGCCATGAGCAAAGGTGTAGAGGTGAAATGAACATGGTACATGTGGGAAGCAGGGAGGCAAGCCAGCTGAACAAAGCTAGGAGTGGGTATATAGTGGAGGGGAAAGACATGAGGATGGGTGAACCAAAGCTCATGTGTGAGAGGTTCTGAAAGCCAGTAGAAAAGCCTGGGCTCAGTACCAAGCACACGAGGAACCACCGAGGGAGCCTAAGCAGGCAGAAAAGAGAGCAGGCCTCAGGCCCAGCTCTGCCACCTTCTCCATGAATGACAGTGAGCAACTTATTTAACCTCCATGATCTTTGTCTCCTCAGCCGAGCTCAGGTTAGAGGGAGAGGCTAAGGTTTGGACAATGATACAGGAGAAAATATAGCAGAAAAGGGAATTTAGCAGCAAGCCCCAGCAACAGTTTATCATACTTTACACTCAGCGTTCTGAGGGACCTTTTCCCCCAAAACTGCTCGGGTCACCTTGTAATGGATGTCTGTGGGAAAGGTGTGTTGACTTTAATCCAGGGATTTGTTGCCCAGTAGGCCTCACAGGGCTGCATCTATTCTGCAACTGAGGAGGCCTGACCTTGAAGAAGATAGCCTGAATCCAGATATACAGTTTCAAAAGTATGCTTTCAAAGTGAGTCTTTAGAGGCCCCCGGGTGGCTCAGTTGGTTGAGCACCTGACATTGGCTCAGGTCACGATCTCACAGTTTTTGAGTTCAAGCCCCACATTGGGCTTGCTGCTCTCAGTGTAGAGAGCCTGCTTCAGATCTTTCGTTCCCCCCTCTCTCTGTCCCTTCTTTACTCCTGCTCATACTCTCACTCTCAAAAATAAATAAAACATAAAAAAAATTTTTTTTTTTAAATTTTTTTTTCAACGTTTATTTATTTTTGGGACAGAGAGAGACAGAGCATGAACGGGGGAGGGGCAGAGAGAGAGGGAGACACAGAATCAGAAACAGGCTCCAGGCTCTGAGCCATCAGCCCAGAGCCCGACGCGGGGCTCGAACTCACGGACCGCGAGATCGTGACCTGGCTGAAGTCGGACGCTCAACCGACTGCGCCACCCAGGCGCCCCAAAAAAATTTTTTTTAAAGTGAGTCTTTAAAATACATAACCAAGGAACTTCTACTGTCTTTTACGAATTGTAAAACTTAATAAACAGGGGCATCTGGCTGGCTCAATTGGTACAGCATGTGATTCTTGATCTCGGGGTCATAAGTTCGAACCCCTGTTGGGGGTAGAGATTACTTAAAAATATATATATGTATTTCAAAAAAAATTTTTTTTCAACTTAATACATAGACAATTTTATGTAGGTACCTTTTGCTGTCGCTGAGTTTTGCCTGTTGCCTCCCGGCAGCAGGGAAGAAAACCTGTTGACACGGTAACCACTCTTGGTGTAGGCACTGGTAAAGCCCTGTGTGGAAAGTTACCATTCCCATTAGGCATCAGGTCTCCTCACCCTCTTGCCTCACAATCTGCAGGTATCATCAGCGCAAAGATGGCTCTCAACAAATCCCTCCTGCAGAAAAGCCTTTCAATCCCCATGCCAGGTGTAGATGAGGAACACGAAGTGCAGAGAATCCTTCCCGCTACAGACTAGGCATGCTGGTATAGGGAGGGGCCACTACTCACCCTGGAGGCCACGATCAGGGCTCTTTTTCCAACAGGGCACACGACCACAATCCATTCCTGCCCCAGATCTGAAGGGACGTCAATCAACCACTCAGACAGCATCAACTGGGGACACCAAAAAATGGCATTAAAAATCAACAGGGGTGGGGTGCGTGGCTGTCTCAGTCTGTGGAATATGCGAATCTTGATCTCAAAGTTGTGAGTTTGAGCCCCACGGTGGGTGTTGGAGATTACTTAAAAAATAAAATATTAAAAAGAAAAATCAGCAGCGGTGTGCTGCTGCGACATCTGCACCAACAGAAAGTTCATATCCTATATATATAAAATGAGAATACACGTAGGCTGACAGTGCACCTGCACCTGCTTGCTCTTAGTTGACTTGTCTCAACTGACACTGACTCAATGGAGGCCGTGTGAACTTCACTGTGAACTTCAACTTCTCTCCTCATCTTCATTTCCTGCATCCATAATTCTTACTACCTTGCTTCCTGTGTCTGGGTGACGGGACCCTCTTCCTCATCTTACTTTGTCCATCTGCCTGCCGTTCTCATAACTATTATGTTCTAGGGGCTATAACCTCAGAGATGAATAAGGTCCCTGACCTTGAGATGCTCTTAATCTAGATCATTTCTCAAACTGGTGACCCCAAATACCTTAGCAAAAGATTTTGGGAAAACTGCCTTAAAAAACAGGGGTGGGGGAACACGGGTGGCAAAATGAATCTGCAAAGATGAACTCTTCCACTCATGGCTCACAATCCCTCCCATCTACACAGAGACTGGCCTATCAACTACTCCCTCCCACGGAATCTCTCATCTCTCCTTCCCCTTGGCCCACAAAATGCTCAAGCCCTAATCATAAAAAACAAAACAAAAATGAAAACCTTTAATCACTCTGCGTTTCTGTTAAACTATTCCACTTTCTCCTTTTTAAAACAGCTTTATATTTCTTTTTTTTATTTAAAGTTTATTTATTTTGTGAGAGAAAGCATGAGTGGGGAAGGACAGAGGGAGAGGGAGAGAGAATCCTAAGCAGGCTCCGCACCGTCATCACAGAGCTTGACTCAGAGCTCAAGCTTATGAATCACAAGATCACGACCTGAGCTAAAATCAAAAGTCGGACACTTAACCGATTGAGCCACCCAGGCACCCCAACAACTTCATATTTCTTGATGCTGCCCTCCCGCCCACTCTGACACCCTCAGTCCAGATTTGCTACCCCCGCAGCCCTGCCAACAGCCATCAGTGACCTCCTCTCTCTCTTCCCTCTCCCCCACCTTATCCTCCCGGCTCCACTCCTGTCGTGACACTGCTTGTCATCACCTCTTTGTCCTCCTTGACGCATGTTCCCTTAGCCCCATGACACGGTGCTATTCTTTTTCCTGCCAAACATTCCTCCAAATGCTCCCCCAAAGCAATGTAGAGAATGTTCAGGAGGCTGTTTTAGGTTCCCCTTCTTTTCTCTCAGATGCTGCCCCACTGGGGCTGGACCGCATTATGTTTGCAGCCTCACCTGCCATTTCTGAGAGGACACCTCCTAATTCTCCTTCTTTTTCATTTCCAAATTGCTTTCCTTTCCTCCAGACCCATATTTGCACCTGTCCAGGAGGTATCTCTTTCTCTGCTTGCTCTCTCTGTACCTTAAACTCAATGTACCCAAAACAGGACTCACTGCCTTTGGTCACCCAAGTACCTTCCATCCCTGAAACCCCCCTTTCTCTTTCTGCATCCTGTAGCCCTGTTAATAGCAACACCACTCGCTGTTACCGAATCTTAAACCAAGGCATAATCAACACTTCCTTAAAGAATGGTACTGCTACAACACCAAAAGCACAAGTGACAAAACACAGAAGCCGTAAGTAAGACTACACCAAAATTTAAAACTTTAGTGCTGCCACTGATACCAACAGCAAAATAAAAAGATAACCCACAGAATGGGAGAAAATATTGGAAATTATGGATCTGGTAAAAGACTTGTATCTAGAATATATAAAGAACTCTTACAACTTAACGATAAAAGGCAACCCAATGAAAAAGGGGCATAGACATTTCTCCAAAAAAGATATACAAATGGTTAATAAGCATGTGAAAACGATGCTGGATATCATTAGTCATTAGGGAAATGCAAAACAAAACCATGAGACACAACTTCACACCCACTAGGGTGGCTCTACTCACAAGGATGGACAATATCAAGCACTGGCAAGGTGTGGAGACACTGGAGCCCTCATACACGGCTGGTGGAAACGTAAAACATTGTAGTCACTTTGGAAAACAGCCTGACAGTTCCTCAAAATGTTAAACACGGAGTTACCATATCACCTAGTGATTCCATTTCCAGGTATATACCCAAGAGAAATGAAAACATATCCACACAAAAACTTGTATGTGAATGTTCACAGAAGCATTATTCACAAATAGCCAAAAAGGGAAACAACCCTAATGGTCACCAATGGATAAATGGATAAACAAAGTGTAGTATATCTATACAACAGAAAAGATAATGTTTATTTATTTTTGAGAGAGAGTGAGCACAGTGGGAGAGGGGCAGAGAGAGAGGGAGACACAGAATCCAAAGCAGGCTCCATCCAGGCTCTGAGCTATCAGCACAGAGCCCGACGTGGGGCTCAAACTCATGAACCCCAAGATCATGACCTGAGCCGAAGTTGGATGCTTAGCTGACTGAGCCACCCAGGCGCCCCAACAGAATATTATTTGGCAATAAAAAGAAATGAAGTTCTAACACATGCTCTAACACAGATGAACCTTGAAAACCTTATGCTAAGTGAAGAAAACCAGGCAAAAAGGGTACATCTTGTATGATTCCATTTATATGAAATGTCTAGAAGAGGCAAATCCATAGAGAAAGAAAGTAGATTACTGATTGCTAAGGGCTGGGGGAAAGGAAGAATGGGAACTGATTGCTGATGGGTATGAGGGTCCTTTTTGGGGTGATGAAATGTTTTGGAATTAGACAGTGGTAACAGTTGCACAGCCCTGTAAATATATTAAAAACCACTGAATGTATCAAAACCCTGTAAATGTGTGAATTGTATGGTATTTGTATGGTATGTGAATTTATCTCAAGGCTGTTTAAAAAAATAGTACTTGTGGGGCTCCTGGCTAAGTATTTAGGATACACTATCTCATTTAATCCTTCTAACAATCCTATGAAATAGTACTGTAAATATCCTCATCTACAGATAAGAAACCAGAGATTTAGAGAGGTTAAGTAACTTGCTTAAGGTCAACAAAAAGCCTGGCTTTGAGGTCAGGTCAATGAGACTTCAGAGCTTAAACATTTAACCACTTCTCATATTGCCTCTTCTATCCAATCTACTGTTAAATTCCATCTGTTCAACCTGGCAATACTTCTCATATTCATGACCTCATTTTCTTTACACCTTCACTGCCCTCAGCACTCATCATCAGATGGTTTTAGCAAAGTTAAGCTCCCTACTACAGTCTCTCTCTTCCAGACCCTTTTATATACACTAATGGGCATGTCATACAAAGTCTCAACTCTGTCCCTGGCTCAACAATTCTTGATGGTTCCCCAAAATCTAAACCATAGTCTAGGGGGACCTGGGTGGCTTAGTCAGTTAAGCATCCAACTCTTGATTTTGGCTCAGGTCATGATCTCATGGTTCATGAGTTTGAACCCTAAGCAGGGCTCTGTGCTGACAGTGTAAAGCCTGCTTGGGATTCTCTCTCTTCCTCTCTCTCTCTCTGTCCTTCCCCTGCTCATGCTCTCTCTCTCAAAAGAAAACAAAACAAACAAAAACCTTAAAATCAGTAAATAAATAAATAAATAAATAAATAAATAAAGTCTAAACTCTTGCACATATTTCTTTGTTTTTGAACGTTTATTTATTTTGAGAGAGAGAAGGAATCCCAAGCAGGCTCCTTGCTGTCAGCACAGAGCTGGACATGGGGCTCGAACTCATAAGATGTGGGATCATGACTTGGGCCGAAATCAAGAGTCTAAAGCTCAATAGACTGAGTCACCCAGGTGCCCCAAACTCAGGGCTTTTGTACTTCCCAGAATGAGTCATTTTTAAAGGATGTAATCTTTTCTAAAGGTGTAATCTCTCCACCTAGGTGGGGCTCAAATCCATAATCCCGAGGATCAAGAGTTGTGTGCTCTATTGACTGAGCCAGGCAGGCACCCCTCCTGCACCTATTTCTGCTGTATTCCTTCTCCTAAGCCTATGCTGCTCTATCCTTACTGGCCTGCATACTGCTCTCAACACACCATATACTCCTCCCACCTCAGGGCTCTTGCTCATCCTGCTCCTGCTGCCTGGAATGCACCTCTGCCTATCAATGTCCTACTCATGCTTCAAAGCTGCCTCCTCGTTCATTAACCTTTTCCTGATTTCACAACCCTACTTCCTTCCCTGTTGGAAGCTAATCTCACTTTCTTGTAGCAAAAACCACAATCTCCACTTATTCTGGGAGCACAGGGGCCATTTCTGGCCCTTGTCTACCTTCCCACACACAGCCTAGCTTAATACAGGGCAGGGCCTTCAACAATGCTTGCTGAATAGAACTGAACTATACTCTGTCATAAAGGATGTTATCCATGCTGTAGTTGGGGCACAGAAAGAAGATGGGAGTGTGTGCACCCAGAAACCATATTCTAAAGGTGGGAAAGGATTCTGAGGTGACAAGACACTTGGGTTATAGAGAGAAGAATATAATAGAAAGGTAGACTCCCGATCCCACTTGGACCAATACCCTGCCTTCTGGAATACCTGGACTGCCTGAAGCACTGAACAGTTTCCATGCCTGCTTCTCCTATGGCTCCACAAACCACACCAGTTTCTTTCTGCAACCTACAGGCCACTTAGTCACGTTTGTTATAGTCAGCTGTTGTTTTACGGCCTCAACCTCACGTAGGCCAATTGGCTGGCTGGGGTGGCCGTGCAGGCTCCCCATATTCAAGGGCAGCTGTACTTCCCACCTTGCACCATCTGAATGTGAAGATCCAAGACTGGCATGTTAGTCCCCTGCTTGGGAAAGACGACCAACCTAGAAGGTGGAGTGGGGGCAGTGCTGGACTGTGCAGGCCCGATGCAGAACCGCTTTACAGCGACCACTAAGAAATGACAAGTGCATGCAGTCTGTTAGTGTATCAATAGCTCAGAGGTCTTCTGCAGCAGGCTGGCGACCTTTGGTTATAGTAGGGCGTAAATGTTCTCAAACCCACCAGCCACAGCCTCCCTCAGTGACCCCCAGTCAGCACATGGCACTGTAAGCCATCTCTTTTCCTAGTCCATACACTTCATGCACAGCAGCAGCTTCTTTGCTATCCCCATTCCTTTCTCCTGTCTCCTCCTCCTCTTTTTTTTAATGTTTATTTTATTTTTGAGAAAGAGAGAGAGAGAGAGAGAGAGAGAGAGAGAGAGAGAGAGAGAGAATCAGTGGGGAGGCACAGAGAGAGGGAAACCGAGGATCCGAAGCAGGCTCCGTGCTAACAGCAGAGAGCCCGATGTGGGGGCTTGAACTCATGAACCTCGAGATCATGACCTGAGCTGAAGTCAGACACTCAGCTGACTGAGCCACCCAGGTGCCCCCTCCTCCTCCTCTCTTTATGGCAACATTTCCTTTAGTGGGATTTGACCTGGCCTCACCTTCTCTGGACTACTCACTTGATTAGCATAGCGTTTTGGTAACTTCTTGCCAGTGTCAACATCCATCTCTTCATCATCTTTTTTATCATCTTCTTCCTCACTCTCCATCCCTGTCCAGTCATCTTCAGCCAGTCGTCTGGCATGGTTCACGTAATCCAGCCGCTTGCTGGAGGAAAGAAGGCACAAGGACAGGCCTTTATGTCTCATAGGAAGACCCCCTACAGTGTGACGAGTTTAGCTTAATTCAAAGGCTCCAAGTTCAAGAAACCCTGGGGATTCTAGTGGAAGAGATGGTAGATTTTCCTTCATAAGGCTCAACTAGTGATGGCCCCCTCACTGGTCCTAGATAGGAAGCACCCTCTGAACACACTCAGCCTTCCTCAGAATTTCTTAAAAATGGGCCAAGTAAAACGTTGAAAGGAATTTTCAAGGTTCACTAGCTGGAAAAGCTGACCCCACTCCCACCCACCCCATTCCAGACTCCCACACCTCTACCCAGGTGAGAGCTGACACTTTCCTGCCTGGCAGGCATCTAGTCCAAAGGCCCTGGATAATTGAAGAGAAGAATCACTGAGACGTGGTGAGGAGTTTAAAACAAAGACCACTTCTGGGATTTTCCAACTTCCATAGCTTTCTGAGGAGTGGCCAGGCCTTCTTCTAGTTCTTATCTAACTTTCAAAACAGGCCTCTTAGCTTACGATTTAATCTATCTTTTACTTGTTTTTGCTTTATTGTTATCCTTCTCTCTTTTGAAAAAAACTACATATTCTAGAAAGCTTGGGCAATTAGTTAAGAAAGAATAAGAACCGTTTGGAACCTAATTGCTCCAAAGTGATCTGTAGATACCTCGTAACCTCCTGCACTTGGTTCCCTCAATGCTGAGGCAAGAAATCCACTATGGAGGCAGTGAGACCAGCTCAACTGGTTCTCCTCAGATACTCTCAGACACATGAGTTCTTGCACATTCACGTGAGGGTGCACGCCAGAGAGGCATATGAAAGCACGATGGTGTTTTAATTCAAGAATAAGGAAGGGGGCACCTGGTGGCTCAGCTGGATACGCATCCAACTCTGTCTCAGGTCATGATCTAGAAGTTCATGAATGTGGGCCCTGTGTTGGGCTCTCTGCTGTCAATGCAGAGCCTACTTCCTCTGTCCACCTCTCTCTGCCCCTCCTCTCCCATCCCCTCTTTCGCTCAAAAATAAATAAATAAACATTAAAAAAAATTAGTTCTTTCTAATCCTCTATTCCTTATTACCCAGAAAAGGCCTGTGTTGTACTCAGAATACAAGGATAAGCCCTGACTTCAGAGCAGCCCAGCCTCAGACACTCCTATCCTGCTCTCTTCCCCTGCTTGCTCATCTTGGCATTGAGAATTAAGTGTATGGAAGACATTTCCTCAGATTCCCTGTGGAATTATTTGTATTGAATTCTCAAGGGCTCCACGGAAACATTCGGGCTGAAGGCAGACAGGAAGACCACACCAATGCCAGGATTCAGAGTGCAGAAGCCACACAGGGAATGTGGGGAGTGGAAGTCTGGGTGTGGCCTTCACAAGTCCCTAAATCGCAAAGCTCAATGCTGCTGCCAGGGAAAAAAGAAAAATTTAACCAAATAACTGAGCTTTTGCTTTCAAACTTCAGCCTTTCCCTATGTCTCCATCTTTTCCTAAGCTCTGGGTATAAAGGATGTCTACCTCTGCCAGGATTTACCCCTCCCAACCTCATGGGCAAGGTGTACCTACTAAGGGTCTACTTCAAAGAGACAAGCCTAGAGCCTCCTGATTGGAGGCTCCCAGCCTGGAAAGAGAAAGCAAAGAGTTAAAGCATCCCTTACGATTTCTGCAGTTCCAATAGTCGGCGGCGCCGCTCACTCTGCTCCAAGGAACTGTACTTGGACTTGTACTGGGACAGGCGGGGGTGTGGGGCAGCTGTGCTGTTCAGATCTTGAGACACAGAAAAGCTACTGGCCAGGGCTTGACTCAGCTCTTCCATCTTCCCTACAAAGGAAAACATAAGAAAATGGTTCATTCATTTCATATCATCTCCTGTGTACAGGCAGTTATGATGTAACATGATGGCTACATTCCTAAAAAAAACTCACTTGATCCAAAATCACAACTGTTTCCATGGGGAGAGAGGAAGTTAAAGGGTAAATGAGTTATATATGAGCATAACATTAATTCCTGCAGATATTTCAATAATTATCATCTTGATAGCTCTCAGTATACCGATATAAACTTATATATACATCAAGACAAATCAAGTTCACCCTGCTAACTTTTGCTTTGTCATTCATCACCAGTAGCCCGTCACTAATTTCTTTTTACCATCATTGATGTCCAGTGATGTGATCAAGTACCTAATTTTTTCCTGAATAGTTCTAAATAGCCATTACTCAATAACTTTTAATATTAATATAACTTTTTAAAAAATGCACACATTTTATTTTATTTTATTTTATTTTATTTTATTTTATTTTAGAGAGAGAGACAACGGCATGAGCAGGGGAGAGGGCTATGGGAGAGAGAGAGAATATCAAGCAGGCTCCACACTCAATTCAAATCCTGACGTGGGGCTTTGATCCCATAGCCCTGAGATTATGACCTGATCCGAAATCAAGAGTTGGACACTTAATTGACTAAGCCACCCAGGTGTCCCTATTTTATTTTTTTAAGTAAGCTCTACACCCAATGTGGGGCTTGAACTCACCACAAGATCAAGAATAGTATGTTCCACCAACTGAGGAGGCCAGGCACCCCTCTAATATAACTTTCCCTTAAAAAAAAATTTTTTTTTAATGTTTATCTATTCTTACAGAGAGAGAGAGAGGCAGAGAGAGGGAGACACAGAATCTGAAGCAGGCCCCAGGCTCTGAGCTGTCAGCACAAAGCCCGATGCAGGGCTTGAACCCACGAGCAATGAGATCATGACCTGAGCCAAAGTTGGATGCTTAATTGACTGAGTCACCCAGGGGTCCCTCTAACATAACTTGCCGATGCAGATTTTACCCAATTGTTGTTTAACTTTCTAATAAATGCCAACTTACGTTAGAAAATTTAGCTCCAGGAGAAATATTGGTCCTGGGCCCTTACAGCAAGACAAGAGGAGCCCCAATCCCAAACCTGGCAGTTGCTTTCTCATTGTATATTTTGTTTTGTTTGTCTGTTTTGTTTGCTTGTTTGGAGTGGACAAAAGGAAGGTTTCAGGGCTACCCATGTAGGACTCACTTGTCAAAGAGCTAGATGTAGAAGGCTACCTACCAGTTAACACCAAGGTGTGTGAAAGACTGACATGTGGTACATTTGGGAGATGGAGTAGATTGGAGACAGAGTACCCAGGTGTGCCCTAAAGAATGGGAGTAGAGAGAAAGAGGTGAATTCACATGTCACTCACCTTTCTGTGAATGAAGGTATGAAGTGGCATAGGAGCTTAGCTAAGGGTTAAAGGTGTGCCTCAGACTGTAAGAAAAAAGAACATTTAGGAGAAATCAGACTCACAAAGCTGGGCTGGCCTAACCCTTTAGGTGTAGTATAAAACAGAAGGCATCCCCAGTGCTTAAACTCCACCCCAGGCCAGGTCCCACTGATCAGAGCACCAAAACCAACAGGTTCATTCCAGAGCCTCCATGGTTAATAACAACATTATGGGTCTCTATTTGGCAATGAATTACTTTCCATTGCACATTTGAAGTCAGATTCCCCCCCCCCCAAATTTGAGGATTTTTTTTTAAATTTGAGAGGAACTTAAAAAAAATTGTGGTTAGAAACCCATGACATAAAATTTATCATCTTAACCATTTTAAGTTACAGTTCAGTAGTGTTACGTACATTCACATTGTTGTGCAACCAATTTCCAGAACTCTTCTCATCTTGCAAAACTGAACCTCTATACTCATTAAACATGAAGGGAACTTTTTTTTAAATTTAAGATTGACATATCGCTGGTATGGTTTCGAGGTGAATCTTTTTTTTAATTAAAAAAATTTTAATGCTTATTTATTTTTGAGAGAGAGAGAGAAAGAGAGAGAGAGAGAAAGAGTGCAAGCTGGGGAGGGGCAGAGAGAGGGGGACAGGATCTAAGGCAGGCTTCACGCTGTCAGCGCAGAGCCCGATTGTGGGGCTCCAACTCACAAACCACGAGATCCTGACCTGAGTCAAAGTCGGAGGCTTCACCGCCTGAGCCACCCAGGTGCCCCAATGAATCTTAACATACTTGTAATGCAACCAGGGTGGCCATTTGTGGTTGAGCTGGGTGATGATTACGTGGGATTCATAATGGTATGCTATTTTCCGTATTTTCCTGTACTTATGTACACGTCTAAACACTTCTATAACACAATCTTTTAAAGAATTCATGATGTCCTCGGCTTACCAAAGTAATGACCAAATCTGAAATACACTCATTAGGCCTTGCCATGCTTTTATCTTGGTGTGGCCTCCCGTTCCGCCAAGAATCACAAAATCATTACACACGCCTTGGATACTGGGGCGGCCCTCTGTATCTTTGTGGCTGTTCTTGGCTGGCTCCTGCTCTTTCAATCCATTCCTTGGATGGGGCTGCCTCCAAGGGTCCTGACCTTAGCCCGTGTGGTCTCAGCCAGACTCAACGCGCGTCCCCTACCGCCTTTGCTGCCTCCTCCTCCCCCCCTCCGGCGCCCCCGCCTCCCACTCCCCAGGCGGGGATCTATGGCTCCACTGCTGCTTCCACGGGGCTCCAGCCCCGGGGACACTACCTGCTCCACTCGGTCGTCCTCCCCGCCACAGCCCCGCATTGCCTTTCTCTAGGAACGCGGCCCCCTAGGCCTTGCACGATTCGCCCCTCCCCCACAAAAAGTCCCTGAGGGGGTCCTGGCCCGACAGCCTGTAACAGAAGAGCGGCAGCGCGCTCAAGGGGAGCCTGAGCCTGGCTTTGCCTCTCCAGGGGACGCCTGGGGAGTCCAGGAGTACCAGCCGGCCAGAGGGAGAAGCAGCCGGGAGCCGAGGGGCAATTCGGGAGCCGGCGGGGCCCAGGCTCGAACCCGGGACTCACCAGGAGGAGGTGACAGTTCCAGGAGCCGCGGCCACTGCTGACGGGGGCAGACCAATCAGCTGCTCAGGGAGGGCTGGGCCCACCCCCTTGGCCGCTGCCGCTCCGCCGGGCCCACCCGCCGCGCGCCGGGAGTTTCCGGCTCCGCCCACCATCGTGAATTCCGGGAGTGCAGCCGCCGTCCGGTCGCTCGCGGGCCGTTATTTCCGCCTTCACTGGCTGGCGCTTTTTCGGTTGGCCCAGGCAGGGGTCCTTTTGTGATGCACTGTTCGGGACCATTCCTGCCCGGTGACTTGGCCCTGCCGAGGCCTGACCACAAGCTCCTTGGGGCTCCTTTCGCCAATGGGAAGAACCCCGATCTCGGGGCTGGGCATTCAAAGCCCTCCAGGCCCTGGGTCCTGAAGCTTCCCCCAGATCGCCCGCTTTTTAGGAGTACAGGCAGTCCGCTCTCTCTCCTATGCCGGCAGTGCCGGTTGCCTGGACGACACCCCCGGCCCCGACTCCTCACACACCCGTCTCAATTAGACATTCCCGTCCCTTTCGCTCTTACTACACCGGCGACATACCTCGATTACAGCCCGTTTGCTCAGTTTGGGAGTCTCTTTCCTACTCGGCTGTGGGCTTGGCAACGGCAGGGACCTGGCTTGATTGCTGCTTAAGAAGGCAGCGTCTGGCACAAAACGTAGCACTCAGTAGACCTTGGTGAATTCCTTGAAGGGATTACGGCAAAGGGGTAGGGAGGGGAGAAGCAGCCGAGATTTAGGAGAGATAATCAAATTAGAATGCAGCCTCTTGGAGGGAGGACTGATGAGACGCAAACTAAAGATGTGACAGCCATTTACTGAATGCTTACATTGAGCCAGACACTGCTTCACGTGCATTATCTCCTTTAATCTCCAAATAACACAAGTAGACTGAAGCTCTGAGAGGTTAAGTACTTGACCAGAATCACACAGCTTTCAAGCCAAACATTTGAACTGCTGAATGTTGGACTTACAGAGAAGTTGGATATTACTACACTACAGAAAATACACGTCTTGAGTCCAAGGAATGCCAAGATGTTACTTGCTACATATTTTAAGTACATGACACCATCCATTTGAACAAAAAAACACAGAAGATCAGACTGATACAGAGGGTAATGGCTGCTGGGGCCCTGGAAGACCCAATTTTTTGGGCCTCAGAATTTATGTAGGTGAGCTCTTTTTTTTAATTTTTACTTATTTTTGAGAGAGAGACAGAGAGAGAATGAGTGGGGGAGGGGCAGAGAGAGAGGAAGATACAGAATCTGAAGCAGGCTCCAGGCTCTATCAGCACAGAGCCCAATGCGGGGCTCGAACATATGAACCTCAGGATCATAACCTGAGCCAAAGTCTGGCGCTTAACCGACTGAGCCACCCAGGAGCCCCAGTGAGTAGTCTGACTCTTTCAGTAGTCCGACTGAGCAAGGCTGTGCACTAGGTTATTTATTTGATGCATCCTCAAATAATAGCTCATGTTTGCCTGATTTATGAGACAGACAAAGAAAAGCCCAGGGCCCGACTTCACTAGGGAACTTTGACATCAGGATATTAAGTATTTTGTGTCCCAGAACCACCATTCTCTACCCATGACTATGGAGGTCACACTAAGTGGTCAGAACTGCACAGAAAAGAACAAAGGCCCTACACATTAAAGCAAAATGAGCTGAGGTCCAGGAAAAAGGCTCCAGTCCCTCATTCATACTCAGCTGAATAACTTCTCATATCACTGAAAAGAACAAACTAAATGGTACTTGGCCCAGGGGTTCATTTGGAGCCAGTCTGTGTTCCACAAGGGCCTGCTCTGCCTAGAACAGTGTTCTAGTTCCCCAACTATAGCCATTGGCACCTCACCTTCACAACACTGGCCACATACACATACACATACACCTGTGCTTAATGTCTTTAAATCAATTTACTATTTAATTTTTTTTTAATTTTTTTTTCAACATTTATTTATTTTTGGGACAGAGAGAGACAGAGCATGAACGGGGGAGGGGCAGAGAGAGAGGGAGACACAGAATTGGAAACAGGCTCCAGGCTCCGAGCCATCAGCCCAGAGCCTGACGCGGGGCTCGAACTCACAGAGCGCGAGATCGTGACCTGGCTGAAGTCGGACGCTTAACGACTGCGCCACCCAGGCGCCCCTCAATTTACTATTTTAAAAAGGCTAAACAGGGGCACCTGGTGGCTCAGACAGTCAAGTGTCTCACTTTGGCTGAGGTCACGATCTTGAGGTTCGTGGGTTCGAGCCCTGTGTTGGGCTCTGCGCAGACAGCTCAAATTTTGTGTCTCCCTCTCTCTCTGCCCCTCCCCTGCTGTGTTTTCTCTCTTTCAAAAATAAATAAATTTAAAAAAATAAAATGAAATGAAAAAATAAAAAGCTAAATAGAGGAGCCTGGGTGGCTCAGTTGGATGAGTGTGCGACTATTGATTTCAGCTCAGGTCATGATCTCATGGTTCCTAAATTCAGGCCCTGCCTTGGGCTCTGCCCTGGCAGTGCAGAGCCTGTTTGGGATTCTACCTCCCTCTCCCTGCCCTTTCCCTGTGTGTGCAAGCATGCGCGTGCGCGCGCGCACACACACACACACACACACACACACACACACACACAGTCTCTCCCTCTCTCTCTGAAAATAAACTTAAAAGAGGAACACCGTAGCATTTCTTTAAATCACTTCCCACTTTAACAAAGTATCTATAAAATATATACACTGTGAAAATAGTATATGTTATAATCTAGCTAAATACTAGTAAGTGCAGAAAACTGTGAGACTGAGGACTTTGTAAGAATCAGATTAGCAAGTGTTGGAGAAGTGACATGGAGTAACACAAACAGAACTTTTGTACAATCAGCAAAATCCAAAGAGAACAGAAAAGGGAAGATCCACTTTCTCTCTCCATAATTCAATGTTATTTAAGGTAGAATCTACGCACCCCCTAAAATCATCCGGTAAGCGCCCCCAGGAAGAGGAATCCCTACCTAACACAGAGAAGCTTGGGAGCAGGACGGTGTCCAGCCATTTCCAAAAGAGGAGGCTCTCATTGGGAGCCCTGAGTGTCACTCTGTCATCAGTCAACAGATGTGTGTATAATGCCTACCGTTGGTTAGGTACTGTGCCACAGGAAATACCAAAATGACTCAGACTGACCCAGTCCCTGCCCTCCAGGGGCTTACAGCCCAGTTGTAAGTAGAGAAAGTTGTGTAGTAGAGAAAGGGGCTTACAGCCCAGTTGTGTAGCAGAGAAAGACAAAAGAAAGGTAGGTGCTATAGCTGCCTGCAGACCGGTGTTAAGGAGCTCAGGTGACTGGGTAGAGAGCAAGTGGGGTGGGTCCTGGGGCCAGTGTTCAGGGAACTCCTCTCAGAGATGACATTTGAGTCAAGACCTGAATGATGAAAAGGAGCCAGTCAT